ACTTTTAAAAGATATGTATATATTTTGAATTTCAAATGATTGTAAATATTTTCAGCTGTATATTTTGAAAAATTGAAAATTATGAGAAAAATTAAAAATCTGAGAAAAATTGAAAGAGCAGTATAATAATGAATCTTTCATATTTACTGATCATTAATTTATTCAGTACATTGCTACATTTATTTCTTTCCTTGCCCCTTCTGTATAGATATATATACTCTTTCCTTGAACAGTTTGAAAATAAATTTCGACTCTCATGACATTTTTATCCTTAAATAATTGTACATCTATCTTGTGAGACCAAAGACATTCTTCTTCATAACCATAATACTATCATCACTCAAGAAATTGAAAATTGACTGAAGACATTATTTATTATACAGTCTATAGTCAAATTTCCCTGGTTTCCCCTGGTTGTTCTCTAAATGCGCTTTGTACTTTTTTCTTTCTAGTACAAGACTGATCAATAGCTTATTGATAGCTTATTATGACCTTCCATGTCTCTTTAGCAACCTTTCATCTAGGACAGCCCCTTTGCATTCTTCTCTTTCTTCTTTCATAAGATGGACATTTTGAAGAGTTTCAGTCAGTTTCTTAGAGAATACACCATAATCCAGATCTGTCTGATTGTTTTCCTATGATTAGATACACAGTAAACATTTTTGGCCAAGAATGCTATACATATTTGTCATTGGATTGTGTCAGGAGGCATGTGATGTCCGTTTGTTTGATTGTTGATGATGCTAATTCTAAACACTTGGTTTTTAAAGGTATTTTCTACCTGATCTCTTTCCTGTAAATTCACATTTATTTCTAAATAATTAATAAGCATTTTGAGGTTCTTACCTTGTAGTCCTACAGAGCAGTGAGCTCTCTAGGGAGGAAAGCAGCAGATTGTGTGTGCATACTCTAACTTGATCCTAAATGTTAGACGTGCTTGAGCGCATGTGGAAATGTGTAGGTGGAATGCTAGGATGTGCAAGGGGAGGGGTGTGTGTGAAGTGAAGATGGACAGGTCACTCCGCTGTGTCGTGCAGCACGGGGGTGGGGGGGGCGGTTGAAAGTCCGAGCTGGTGGTGTTCTGGATGATGCAATTGTATTTGAGTTTTAGAAAGATAGTATTAGCAGCAATCAGACGGGAGATTATTACACCAAGCTCAGATGATGAAAGACTGCAGCCAGTGCAGCTGAGTTCCTGGCAGAGAGAGGAAGGAGATTTGAGAAATATCTATGAGGTTAAAACTGATTGGATTTGGTGACTGGCTAAAGGTTGATTGTGGAGGATTGAGAGTTTCTTGGTGGCAGGATATTTAATAGGATTTCCCAACTCATTGACTAAATTGTGTTAAGTATAAAGTTTAAGTGATTAGTTTTTGTGACAGTTATAGAGACAGGTTCTTTTGGATTCTCTTACAGTTTCTCTTATTCTTTGTTCTTATTCTACTTTTTTTGAGGGATATTTGAATGGCAGTAACAATATGATTCCATTTAGGGAAGCTCTCTCGTCTTGATAGATTCTACCAAAAATGTACACTTAAAGCTGCCTTTAAGCCTCTGGATAGAACAGAATTTGGCATGACCTCTTAACATTCTTTCACTAGAGAGAATGAGATTTTTGTTACAAATGACCTGTAAACTCAACCCTAGCTCTAACATGTTGATTCTGTGGTGTGTCTGTTTTTCTCTCAGACAGCACATTTTATTTCCCGAAAAATTTCAATGTTTTCCTGGTCTCTTTATGTTTTTCCAAGATGTTCTCAGTGCAGCTGAGTCTTGGGGAGCAGACATGGGAATCCGAAGGGAGCAGTATAAAGAAGGCCCAGCAAGCCGTCGCTAACAAAGCTTTGACGGAATCCACGCTCCCCAAACCAGTTCAGAAGCCACCCAAGAGCAATGTTAACAATAACCCAGGTATGGCCTTGACTCGGTTCCTTGTATTCTGTCCTCTGCATGAGCTGTTCCCTGTATTTTCCTTCACGCAGGCCTGTTGCATAGTCAGTGGGTGTTCAGACAACAGAATAGTAACTGAAGATGAGAGAATGAAGAAGGTAGTTGTAGTTATTTTAAAATTCTGCTTTAATGGCTACTCTAAAGGTGCATTACTTTTTAAATGTGACAAAAAGGCGTTTGGATACAAAGACATGAAAATAGGACTGAGGTTTTTTTCTAAAGCAAAGATAGAAGTCATCAGTTTCTCTTAAGTATATAACATATTATTATTTTTTATAACATGTAATTATTAGTTAAAATAGTCTTTATTTTAGTTTAATAGAAAATTATAAAATTAGCCCTAAGCATCTTACTGTTTTGTTTGCTCGTGTAGAGATGGTTGCCATTTACATTTAAAACATTCATATGAAGTTTGTTAAGAAATCCACAAATCCAGTAAAACCTCCTGTGTATAATATTCTAAGTAAATGAGAGTTTTAGTTTTAAGTTCCTAAAATTTTAAAAAGTTGTTCCATGCTTCGATTTTAAAATGTCGATTGCTTGCAGTACCAACAGCATTATATGTCCAGTTAGCTATTGGGAAGAACAAACCTGTATTGGACGCCGTGCATGAATTGATAGCATCGAATTAATGAAGTTCCATAAATTTAGTATCAGCGTTATGCCATTTACTCATCTGTGAACTTGCTTATGCAAGTGGTTATCTTCTGACCAGTGTTGCTTTAGGTATTTTTGTGATGGAGTGAAAAAAGACATTATGCCTGCCAACACTGACTCCATAGGCTATTTAATTATAGTCCACATGCTCATACTCATAATCAGGTCAACACTTCTTTCCCGTGTGGCATGTGCTCTGTAGACAGTCTCCTTTTTCAAGGACTGCTCTTTCCAGAACTCCGTGACCTTCCTAATGGTAGTCCTTTTACTACCGTTCAGTAGTATATGAACGGTATATATGTAGTATATGAACATATATGTAGTATATGTTCAGCATCTTCCAGTGTTTGTTAAATGTGGGTAAATAAGCCAAAATACTGTTATAATAAAAAAAAAAAAGCTCTTTCAGCTTAAAGCTAGGTAGAGGCTATATTTAACTTTTAAAACTCTCTTCAGATTACTGGTTGATCATTAGCACCATAGCACTATCTCTATTTATTAAGCATTTGTTCTAATACATCTAAGAGATGTAAAACCATTGTTCTTTTCTGTAAGGGTTTTAGTTATTTACATAAAACGTAACCCAGCGGTAAAGATTTAAGTACCAGGTGAGCAATAGAAGACATCAGTATTATAAGTAATGATACACATGTACTGAAGTAGTTGAGGTGAGATATAGGTCTTGAATAGAGAGTAGGCAGGCATAGGGCAGAGGAAAGGGTATTCCAGGCTAAGGGAATACTGAGGAAAGTCCTTGGAATAGGAATCTGGACTGTGGGTTTGGCAAAAAAATACTTTATTTATAGATGATTTTTTTTCCTCCCCTCCCCCTGTAGATGATTTTTAAGTAGAGCAGCTACGTGGCTAATAAGAGATAAGACTAGAGATATAGTTAGAAAGCAGATAGTGATGGACTGGAATGTAGCTTTAGGAAATAAATTTTATCTCTAGTTCAGGATTAACTTTTACCAGCAGGTGGATGATGTGTTCAAAAGAGCAGTTTAGGGTGTTGAGTTTGACATGTTTATGGAAGGTGGAAGATACTAGAAGCTAAGTCAGTTAGGAAACCACAGCCATAGTTTATGGGTAAAGAGAAAGAGAAGAAACTCATGTTCATGGAATGGGCGGAAGGACAAGTGTTAACTGATCCACTGGTGGAAGCCAGGCCTGGTGCCCCCTGGGGCAGAGGCTGTGAAGCAAGAGCAGTTGTGTGCTGAGCTTCGGTTCAGGTCCCCGTCCAGGGGCTGGAGCAGGAGATCGGCGAGCAAAGGAGTCAGAGCAGGGCGACAGCGGAGTCTGAAGGCCAGTGGAGATGTTTCCACCATTGAACGTTGTACTGAGCTGACAGAATGAGTAGATTTTAGGGGGTAAATTAATTTTTTTAACTGTTAACTTCATTTTCTTTTGTATGACATTTTATGCATTTATTTGTTGCTGAGGTAAATTTTTAAAATAAATATAACATTATGTATCTGCAAGTACACAAATTACGGTTGTCGAGTCTTGATGTGAATGCTTTGCAGGGTTTCCCAGAGCCTCAGAAGCCTGTCTTTTGGGGTTAAAGCCCTTTTCGTTAAACAACTAGGTGAAACAGCTCCAAAGGGAACCACTGTTCTGCGCCCTGTCATCCTAGATTTGTTGTGCCTGCTTGTTGGAATCGTTCTCCATAGTCTTCTGTCGTAGCTTATTTTTCTCATTGTTGTTTGTGAGATTCATCTGTGTTAACAGTATAGTATTTTTTTACTATGTAATATCCCACTGCATGGATATACCACGATTTATTTATTCATTATACTGGTGGGAGACATTTGGGTTGTTTCCAGTTTTGGGCTGTTAGAGATAAGACTACTATGCTGTGAACTGGAGAAGGAAATGGCAACCTGCCCCAGTATTCTTGCCTGGAGAATCCCATGGTCAGAGGAGCCTGGTGGGCTACAGTCCATGGGCTTGCAAAGAGTCAGACACAACTTAGTGATTAAATAACAACAATGCAATGGACATTTTTGGATGTATACATTTCTTTGGGGGTTGCAGCTAAGTAGGTTATGCATGTGTTCAGTATTAATACGTAGTGTTCAACCTGACACATTTTCCTCCCACTAGCAGTATATGCAAGTTTCCCATGTCCTTGTCCACAAAGGGTGTCCTCAGCTTTCAAAATTTCTGCCTATTCTTCTGGGATGTAGTAGTATTTCATTGTGATGTTAATTTGCATTTCCCCAATAATCGAAGTGAACACCTTTACATATGCCTGTTGGCAATAGGATCTTCTCTGCTATTGATATATTTTTCCTGTTAAAAACCTGCATTGGCAGTTTGTTTATTTTTTTTCAGTTCTTTTATTGACTTACAAGTTTCTTAGATACTCTGGATTAATATCCTTTGTCAGATATGTGTATGGCAAATGTCTTTCCATATTCCTAATGGTACATTTTGGTAAACAGATTTTTACATTAATGAAGTGTAATATATTAGTCTTTCCCCTTATGGATAGTGCTTTTTTAAAAAATTGAAGTGTAATTGAACATAGGTTTATATTAGTTTCAGCTGCACAATGCAGTGATTTGATATTTGTATATGTTGTAAAATGATCATCACAGTGTCTCATTAACATCTGTCCTCATAGTTATATTTTTTCTGTGCTGAGATGCCTTTAGATTTACCTTTCTTAGCTGCTTTCAAATATTAAATACAGTATGACTGACTGCAGTTACCATGCTGTACATTACATCCTCTTGATTTATTTACTTTATAACTGGACGTTTGTATCTTTTGACCCCCTTTACCTACCTCTATCTCCCACCTCTGGCAACCCATCAGTCTGTTCTCTGTATCTGTGAATTCTTTTTGTGTGTGTTTTCTTTCTTTTAGACACCACATATAAGTGAGGTCATGTGGAATTTGTCTTTCTCTGACTTATTTCACTTAGCGTAATGCCTTCAAGAGCCATCCATATTGTCACAAATGGCAACTTTTTAAAAAAATTGCTGATTAATAGTCTGTTGTTTATGTGTATCACCTCTTCATTGTCCATTCATCCATCAATGGACACTTAGCTTGCTTCCATGAACATGAGAGTGCACATATTAATATCTTTTCAAGTTAGTGTTTTTGATTTTGGGGGGATAAATACTCAGAAGTGGAATTGCTAGAATGGTAGTACTTTTTTGTGTGCTATTTAAGATATCTTTGTCTCCCACAAACTTGTGAATACCTCATATTATTTTTAGGAGTTTTATTATTTCGTCTTCTAAATTTAGGTCTAAGTTTGTGAGTAATTGAGGTTTATGTATGAGTTGAGGTAGGGTTCAAGATTTTTTTCTCCCTTTTAACACATAGACATTCAGTTATCTTAGCACTGTTTACTGAAAAGCCAATCCCTTCAATCCATTCCTCTCTGCACTGCAGAGTGGGGAGATCCAGGCCTGACTTCAGAGGAGGTAGATGGGCCTTAAGTGGTAATTACATCCCAGAGAGGAGTTAGGTTTAGTACAGCATGGGAAATCTGCCAGTTAATGAGGAGTATGTCATAGAAGTATTTGCTTTCTTCTTCCTCTTTTTTTTTACCTTTTTTAAGAAATAATTTCTTTTATAAACACACACACACACACTTTATAGAAAGAGTACATATAGCTCTCAAGTAACCATCACCCAGAAATGATTAGCATTGCCGAACCAATTGCGAATAAGTTATGGACATGGTGTCCCATTACCCCTTATTCCCTAAGTGCACAGAGACTCCACTCAGGATGCTGGCGTCAGTCTGGTATCACCAGACCCCACTCACTCTTCAGTGATGGCCCCAATAGCGTCCTTTGTAGGAACAGCATCTCATCAGGGTCACTGGCCTGCTGTGTCTCTCCATTCCACTTACGTGAATGGGACTGGAACAGTTCCTCAGTCTTCCTTTTATGACCTTGACATTTCCACACACTGTATGTAGAATGTTCCTCACTTGAATTTGTCTTGTGTTTCCTCATGATTTCTGCATTTTTAGAGCAAGCATCACAGACGTGACCTGGGGTCATCTGTGTTTCATGTCCGGAGACCCAGGATGTTGAAATGTCCCATTAGTGATGACGTTGGTTTCTTGGTGAAGACTGTGTCAGCCAGGCTTCTATACTGTAAAGTTAATTAATAAGCATGTTTTATTATTAAATAGTATAATTAATAAGTATTTTCTGAGGAGATACTTTGAGACCGTGTAAACATTCTTTTCCTTATCAAACTTTCATTCACCTACCAGCTTTGGCATCCATTGATGATTCTTGTCTGAATCAGTGACTACTCTGAAGATTGCCAAAGGGTGATCTTTAATTTCGTATTCCTTTTTGATTTATTAGTTAGTTGGAATTCTACCCAAGAGCTTTCTCATCCCCCTCACTTTTTTGTTTGTTTATATCACTGTCGATTCTTGGATTCCTGTTTTACCTGCAGGCTTATGACACGTGTGTCTGTGTGTGTCCGCATGTGCTCAGTCACCAGTCATGTCACACTCTGTGACTCTGTGGACTGTAGTCTGCCAGGCTCCTCTGTCCATGGGATTTTCCAGGCAAGAATACTGAAGCAGGTTGCCATTTCCTCAGTCAGGGAATCTTCCCAACCCAGGGATTGAACCTGTGTCTCCTGCATGGGCAGGCAGATTCTGATATTTACCACTGAGCCACCTGGGAAGCCCTATCTATGATTTATTTATTATTATCATCATCATTTATTTTGATGCTCAGATTGTCCCAAGTTTTGCCAGTGGTATGGCCCCTCAGGTTGACTCCTATGTCCTTCAGATAGTTCCTCCTCATTCTTTGGGCATTGCTTTCTGGCACTAGAAGTTGTCCCTAGGTCATCTTGCATTTTCTTTGCCGTGGTTCCAGTCATTTTTTCAGGAGCCCTGATTGACTGACTAATCAATTCATTCTTTCAGCAAATACTTATTGAGTGACTACTGTTATATGTTCCAGGGACTTTTCTAACTTCTACAAAGTTATTTCTTTAAATGTTAGCAATATGTTGCTCCTTGAGAACTAGTTGTGGCGTCTTTTTTTAATCTGTCTCATAATAAGAATCTGTAATTGTTGTTATGTACTTTTGTATATTTAATTAATTAGTCTTTTTATGTTTATCATCGGTAAATGTAGAAATTTCCTTCAACGTATCCAAAAACCACTAAAAGCTGGTGATGTGTTTACAATGTCAACTATATAGCCATAGAATATATGAGGATTTCTATGTAACGATCATCTTTATGCAACTTGGGTCCTACCCACACATGTTGGAAACTGTGGTACTTAGGAATTCCTGGAGGCAGCTCATAGTTTGATTATTCTTTAAATGTTTTCTGTGAGAGCGTTACTGTTTAAGTAACGCTGGCCAAAAAGTTTGAGTTTTTTCATAACATGGAAAAACCTGAACAAAATTTTTGGCCAATCCAATATCAAAAGGTATTCACATATAGAGATGTCAGTCTTGTTCTGTAGGAAACAGATGGAGTACCTTGCTCTAAAGGAGTTGAAACCTTTTCTGTATGGTTTGTGCTTTTTTTCTTTTCTCCTCTCCTTCACAACGCCAGTTTCTAGCATTTCTGTAAAGATAATGTACTGTAGCCTTACTTTCAAGTGAGGAATTTACATGCGATTATTTCTTTATTTAAATAATATGAATACAGTACTTTTACCGAGTTTAAAATATAATTTTGGTGTTGGTGGCAGACATGCTGTATCCTGCAAGTGCATTAAAATCATTTCACTGATCATTTTCAAAGACATTGGCTTTCTCTTTATGGTCATCCTTAAAGGATGAGGTCTTTTAAGCTGCTTCTTTTTTTTTTTCTATTTTTCCCCTTTGAACTTTATGCTGTTTGTGTCTGTATGATTGTTGCAAAGAATTCATAATGACATAAATCATACAAGTGATTAGTCTGTTAATTATTAAACAAATCTTTCTGAAATAAGAAAAATCTAAACTTTTAAAGGCGTTCATGGCTCTTTGGGGTTAAAACATCTTTGGAAGACTGTTCAGCAGTTTCTGATAAAGTTAAACATAAACCTACTCTGTGATCTAGCCATTTCACTACTAGATGTATACCCAACTAAAAAGAGTGTATATGTCTTCCAAGAGACTTCTTGGAAAATGTTCAAAGCGGTTTTATACTTAATAGCCTCAAACTGAAAACAACCCAAATATCCTATCAATAGCAGGTTAGATGAACTGAGCAGAGTATTATTCACTGACAAAGTCTGAAATAGTGATATTCAGCAAAGCCTTATGTTGAAGGAAAGAAGCAAGACAAACTAATACACATTCAGATTTGAAGAACAGGCAAAACTAATCTATGATGGCAGAAGTAAGAACAGGTAAGGTGGGGAGGTGGGTTTTGACTGGGTATTTCTGGGTGATGGAAATGTTCAGATCTTAATCTGAGTGGTGGTTATAGATGTGTTTACATAGATAATGTTTCATGGCGCTGTGTGCTCAAGGGTTTTGCGTTTTACTTACCCCTTGGTAGAATACTGCAAGAAACAAGGAGAAGAGAATCCCTTTGTGCTAGACGTGCTCGTCCTCTGCTCTGAGTGTGTGTGTTAAATTTGGGTTTGGACTAATTGGACTTATTTAATATGTTAACTTTTTCTTATCCTTTTTCTGCCTCTTCCTTGTCCTTCCACCTCCTTTATTCTTTTTCTTTAGTTCCTGTTCTTATACTCTTCAGTGGTTTCATGTGAATTCTTTAGAAATGAGACATAAAATTAGCAGCTTATGACTCTTGATGGCTTGCTTTTTTTTGGCCTGGCTGCCAGTTGTGCATTTGTGTCAGACTCCACCACCCCTTGGCTGATACTGTGCCCCAGTTTCTCTTCTGCAATAAGTCGACCCATTTTTGTTAGTGATGAATGGAGTCTTAAATGTGTGGTGCAGAAGGCATGCTATGCTATGCTTAGGTTGCCCAGTTGTGTCCGACTCTGTGTGACCCCATGGACTGTAGCCCGCCAGGCTCCTCTTTCCAGGGGCATTTTCCAGGCAAGAATACCGGAATGGGTTGCTATGCCCTCCTCCAGGGGATCTTCCAAACCCAGGTCTCCCGCATTGCAGGCAAATTCTTTATGATCTGAGCCACCAGGAAAGCCCAAGAATGCTGGAGTGGGTCGCCTATCCCTTCTCCAGGGAACTTCGTGACCCAGGAATCAAACCAGGGTCTCCTGCATTGCAGGCAGATTCTTTACCAGCTGAGCTGCCAGGGAAGCCTGTAAAGGGCATAATTCAAATGAAATACAGAATTAGACTGGAAGTGCATTTTACTTTCTATTAAGGCTTTAGATTCATTTTTGTGATTTGTTATAATGTGTTCTGCAGCCCACGGGGTTGCAAAGAGTTGGACATGACTTAGTGACTGAACAACAACATGTGGAACATATATATACATTTTAAACTAAATAACCTTTTTTGCTACTTAAAGTTGACATAATAGTTGTACATTGTTTGTGAATTATTATGGGATTTTTAAAACTTCTATAAACGTAGAAAGAGTAAGATAGTGATTATCTCTGTACTTGTCATCAGGTGCAACAGTTACCTGCACATCCCATCTTACTTCTCATCTCTCTGTCCTCTGAATTATTTTGAAATAAATCTCAGATGTGTCACTTCATCCATAAATGCTTCAGTATCTTTAAAGATTATTCACAGGATATTGTTTTATTTACTATTTTTTTCTATTGTTAGTTGTAGAAAAATTTTATTTTCACTAGATAAGTGCAGGAATTACTGATGACCCTGTATTTTTTGCTAATTTTAGTTGCTTGATTACCAAAATATAAATAAAAATATTCACAGATGATAATGCTTTTAATGATTAAAAATCATAAGCTTTCTGGAGGAACTAACTGTCAAGTTCAGTGGTTTTATGATGTACAAACTAAGCAATTTATGAATGTTTTGTTTCTCTTCTTTTGAAATAGTGTAACTGTAAAGTTCAATTTTTGGTCATTACTGTACAGAAAATGTTGCAAAAACCCTGAAGAGATTTCATTAGAAATGACTTTACTGTTTATGCAGCTTGTTTATGCGCCTCCTTAGAAAAATCAAACAAGGGGCCACCACTCTTCCTTGCTAGTTATATGTAAAATAAATATAGATTGGATGATTTATTATGGAAATATTTCACTTCTGTGCCTTTAATATTTCTTTTAAACAGGTAGTATAACTCCAACTGTGGAACTGAATGGGCTTGCTATGAAAAGGGGAGAGCCTGCCATCTACAGGCCATTAGACCCAAAGCCTTTCCCCAATTATAGAGCTAATTACAACTTTCGGGGCATGTACAATCAGAGGTTTGTATGTCTTCTTTGGTTTTGTTCTTATTTATTATTTTATGCATATTATCAAAGTTTCTGAAACTCAAAAGATATTTCTGTTGTAAAGAAAGTTCACTTGGGGTATTTTTTGTGGAATATAGATATATCAGGCTTATAAAGAATTAAGTAATACATTAAAAAAATAACTTTTACAGGAGCTCATGACAGCCGTATGTTTGCTGCAGGCAGGACCATGTTTTAAAGTTGTTCCACAGTGTGGTGTGGAATTTCCAGTTGTCTTGCTCATTTATTCAGCAAGCAGATGCTTTTAGCTTAATTAGTACTTTTCTTAATTTTGTCTGAATACGTTGCAAACATGACTGTTTATAACTTACAGGAAAGTTGTTAGGAGGATTTACTAAGTGTTTCTGCACACTGAATAATTTTGGGATAGTTTTAAGTGTAACAGAATTTTCTTTTGCACATGTGGCAGAATTCTTTTAAAAATTTTAGGATTTTTATTTTTCTTGATCATTTATAAAAGTCATATGGCTCATTGTAGAGAATGTGGAAAATGCAGAAATTTAAAAATACAAATAATTTGCAAACCTAGAATTAAACACCTTTAATATTTTGATGTGCTTTACATTCTTCTTGTTCTTTTAATATAAATATATTTAACCAAATATAAATTATCCTTTGTATGCAATTCTGTCTTAGTTTTTGGAAGTATAATATAGGAACGGTAAAATGCACGAGTCTTAAATGTACATCTTGGTGACTTTATTATTTTATTTATGTACCTATGTATTTATAGTTTATTTGATGACCTTTCACATCTGTGTGTCCTCATGTGATCATCACCTATCAAGCTCCAGAGCACTTCCATCCCCCTGAGAGTTTCCTCACACCTATTTACACTTGGTACTCCTGCTCCCAGCAGTAATAACCACTGTTCTATCTCCATAGATCAGTTTGGCCTGTCCTTGAACTTCCATCAATAGACTCCTACGGCATTTATTCTTTGTGTCTGGCTTTTTTAACTTCATATAATGGTTTTCTTGTTTTGTTTTGTTTTTATTTTTTGATTTTTGGGGTTCATCCATGTTGCTTGTACCAAGGTTCTACCATTTTTTTATAGCTGAATAATGTTCTTTGTATGACTATATCATCATTTGTTCATTTTGAACGTGGAGTATTACACTTTCTTTTTACTTAATGGAGGTATTATTTTTCATATCTTTAACCTTTGAAAAACATTTTTGATGGCTATATTCATATGGCTGAGGTATACAAGTATTTAGTCAAGTGTAAACAAGGAATACTTGATAAGTATATTAAAAAAAACACCTGTTTTTGATCATCTAGATTGTTCCTCCCCCTTTTTTTTAACAATTATAAATAATGTTTCAGTAAAAAATCTTTACATGCAAGTTTTTGTTTACATCATTGATTATTTCCTTAAGATAGATTACTATAAGGGCAGTATTGGGTTAAAAAGAATAATATATTACCCAATTACATTAAAGTTTATACTTATTTCTTATAGTGTATTTCATACTATTTTGACAACATTGAGCTTAAAGCAGAGTGTTGATAGTAAAAAAGTGGTATGTTTAAATTTTTTGGTTTTATTGATAACCTGTTAGGCTCAACAGTTTTTTAAATAAATATTTATTAGTTACTTGTCCATTTTAATTTGCTAATTTTGATTGCATTGCTTAATCTGTCTTCAGATGTTTGTGTGTTGAGGATATTAGCATTAAGAATATTTGATTTTCCTGTTTTTTAAAAATTGGCTTTTTTAGTTTTGTTTTTTAATGTACTCAGTTTTAAATGTTATATGGCATAATCTATAAAATTTTGGTGTGATTTCTCTCACTGCTTCTATGCCTAAGAAATTCTTTCTCATGTTTGATCAGATATTTATTGATGCTTAAAATTTTTTTTAATTGAGGCATAATTGACATACAATGTTGTGTAGGCTTAAGGTGTAGAGAACACTGATTTGATGCATTTATATTGCAGTATGGGTGCCATTGTAGTGTTAGCTTATAACCTCTCTCCAGTCACATAATTATCATTCCTTTTAGTGTTGGGATGCTGTTGCTTTTAAAAGCATTTTGTGTATTTGCTGACAAATTATTACCATTCAGATAGGAGAAGTTATTTGTTTAATCAATAGATAATCTAATACTTTTTGGTGTCTTGCTTGGTAATGGAAAAATTACCATTCAAGATTCAGTCTCACTCAAATTGTAAATGGCTCATTTAAATATTGTTGTTCAAGTTCTCTGAGAAAAACTTGCGCCCCTTTCTCTTTGCTCTCCAGTGCATCTGGGGGCATTTACTTTATTGTGCTGGTGGGAGGGGAGGGTGCCTCCCCCCCACCCTCTGTGCTGGCTCCTGTGGTCTTTGTGGTGTGATGTCTCTTGTCTGCCCTGCTGAAACCTGCAGTTGGTGACTTGCAGTCCCTCTTTTCCCCTCAGGTAATGCTGTCAGAGAGTATTGACCATCTTCCTCTTGCCCTTTTGGACTAAGCTCTTAGCTCTCCTCGTCTCCTTTGGATGTTGTTCCGTTCCCATCCTCTTCTGTCTGACTGGGGCACACACTGCCAGGCTTACCAGCCCTCAGCTTGGTGTCCGCGCTGCATGGGAAGAGCATAATCTATAAAATTTTGGTGTGATTTCTCTCACTGCTTCTATGCCTAAGAAATTCTTTCTCATGTTTGATCAGATATTTATTGATGCTTAAAATTTTTTTTAATTGAGGCATAATTGACATACAATGTTGTGTAGGCTTAAGGTGTAGAGAACACTGATTTGATGCATTTATATTGCAGTATGGGTGCCATTGTAGTGTTAGCTTATAACCTCTCTCCAGTCACATAATTATCATTCCTTTTAGTGTTGGGATGCTGTTGCTTTTAAAAGCATTTTGTGTATTTGCTGACAAATTATTACCATTCAGATAGGAGAAGTTATTTGTTTAATCAATAGATAATCTAATACTTTTTGGTGTCTTGCTTGGTAATGGAAAAATTACCATTCAAGATTCAGTCTCACTCAAATTGTAAATGGCTCATTTAAATATTGTTGTTCAAGTTCTCTGAGAAAAACTTGCGCCCCTTTCTGTTTGCTCTCCAGTGCATCTGGGGGCATTTACTTTATTGTCCTGGTGGGAGGGGAGGGTGCCTCCCCCCACCCTCTGTGCTGGCTCGTGTGGTCTTTGTGGTGTGATGTCTCTTGTCCACCAAGGAGCTGGTTCCCCTCTTGTCTGCCCTGCTGAAACCTGCAGTTGGTGACTTGCAGTCCCTCTTTTCCCCTCAGGTAATGCTGTCAGAGAGTATTGACCATCTTCCTCCTGCCCTTTTGGACTAAGCTCTTAGCTCTCCTCGTCTCCTTTGGATGTTGTTCCGTTCCCATCCTCTTCTGTCTGACTGGGGCACACACTGCCAGGCTTACCAGCCCTCAGCTTGGTGTCCACGCTGCATGGGAAGCTGGAGAGACATACCGTCTCTCTTATGCTTGCTTTGCTTCCCTTTTTTCTGTTACATACCCTTGCCTTTCTCACCACTCTGAGGTTACCGAAAATAAATACAACTACTTGCCTACTTGAGCACAGCAGATAGGTTTGATCACCTGAGATAGGAACACCTTATCAATTTTATACTTACAAGGTACTTTTCTTTTAATGTACTATAATGAATATTCAAGAGAATATTATATTTAAAGCTTAATGTATTTTGATATCTGTAGTCCTTTATTTGAAGTGAAGTTTTTGATTAGTGAACTTACTACTTTTAAATGAAAGCAGACTAGTGCTAAAGCAATGAAAAAATCAGACAGTAATTTCTGTCTTGGGTGAGGTGACTGTTTTGATCAAGGCCCAGGAGCAGGGGGAATAAGCAGTGTGGATGCTGTGAGAGAGGAACTGCAGAAGAAAAAGCAGCCCAAAGCCTGGTGCCTCGATGGCGCCCCAGGGGGCCAGTGTGGCTGGAACAGCCTGGGCCTGGAGGAGAGGAGTGGGGCTGAGAGGATGTGACAGGAGTCTGGTGGTTTGGTGGTGGTTTAGTTGCTAAGTTGTGTCTGACTCCTGCGACCCCATGGACTGTGGCCCACTAGGCTCCTCTCTCCATGGAGTTCTCCAGGCAAGAATATTGGAGTGGGTTGCTGTTTTCTTCTCCAAGGGATCTTCCTGACCCAGGAATCGAACCTAGGCCTCCTGCATTGCAGACAGATGGTTTGGTTTGATTTTTTTCCCCTGTTTTAGATTTTCTGTTAAGTGAGTGCCTGCATGTATGGTAAGTTGCTTCAGTCATGTCCGACTGCGATCCTATGGACTGTAGCCTTCCAGGCTTCTCCCTCCGTGGGATTTTCCAGGCAAGAATACTGGAGTGGGTTGCTGCGCCCTTCTTCAGGGGATCTTCCCGACCCAGGGATCGAACCTGCGTCTCTTATGTCTCCTGTCTTGGCAGGCCGATTCTTTACCACTAGCGCCACCTTAAGAGCATTGTCATTTTTCCTTCCTTGGCAACTTCCAGTTTCAGGACCTGATTCCATGGTTGTCATAAGGCTGCGAGAATTTTTTAACAACCTCTCTAAACTATTATGCCTTAGGCGGTTCCCATTTAATGGATCAAGTGGACTCTTCCTTTAGATTTTTGGAGAGTCTTTAGAATTTTCTGCAGATCATAAAAAGGGTAAAAAAGAAAGTAAGGAAGTACTGGTAAACTACCAAACCATGTTTCAACCTAAACACTGTCTGCTTACAAAAGGGCAAACCTACCCATTACTCATTAGGCTGTTAACATTATGGTTTCATATATGACCTTAATTTGCAGGTGACAACACCTGTGTGTGTGACAGGGAATTTGGAACCAGGGATCAGAGGAGATGCTCTTGTCAGACTCCAGCTGAATTGGTAGCTTTTTACTAAGGCAGGTTCTGAAAGGTTAAGAAGTCGAAGAGACAGGTGTTATTTAGAGGGAGTTTTGAAAAGATCTTTTCATTTTCTGTTTAAAATAATAATTTTTA